GCAATGAAGAAATAGCCAAACTATCAGATGCACAGTTCAAAACACTGGTTATTAGGATGCTCACTAGGTACTTAAACAGAATGAAAAAGACCCAGGCGACAATGAAGGTCACATTATGTGAAATAAAGAAACATCTTTAGGGAGCCAACAATGACGGGAAGAAAACCAGGACTCAAATCAATGGTTTGGAGCAGAAGGAAGAAAGAAACATTCAACCAGAACAGAATGAAGAACCAAGAATTAAAAAAAAAAAAAATGAGGAGAGGCTTAGGAACCTCCAGGACATCTTTAAATGTTTCATCATCCAAATCATAGGGGTGCCAGAAGAAGACGATGACCAAAATATTAAAAACTTATTTGAACAGATAATCAAAGAGAACATCCCCAATCTGTCAAACAAAATAGACTTTCAGGAAGTCCAGGAAGCTCAGAGTCCCAAAGATATTGGGCCCAGGGAGGAACACACCAAAGCACATCACACTTAATTTACCCAAGATTAAAGATAAGAAGAGAATCTTAAAAGCTGCAAGAGAAAAGAAGAAAGTTACCCACAAAGGAGTTCCCATAAAGCTACCAGCTGATTTCTCAAGAGAAACTTTGCAGGCAAGAAGGAGCTGGAAAAAAATATTCAAAGTCATGAAAGGCAAGGACCTACATCCAAGGTAACTTTAGCAGCAAAGCTATCATTTAGAATGGAAGGGCAAATCAAGTGCTTCCCAGATAAGGTCAAGTTAAAGGAGTTCATCATCACCAAGGCCTTATTATATGAAATGAAAGTAACTTATCTAAGAAAAGAATATAAAAAGTATGAACACTAAAAAGACAACAAACTCACAGCTATTAACAACCAAACCTAAAACAAAAACAAGAACAAAACCAAACTAAGCAAAAATTTAGAATAGGAACAGAATCACAGAAATAGAGATCACACGGAGGGTTATCAGCAAAGAGAGCCGGGCAGGGAGAGAGGGGGTAAAGGTACAGAAAATGAGTAACATAAATGGTTGGAAGAAAATAGACAGAGGGAAGTTAAGAACAGTATAGGAAATGTAGAAGCCAAAGAACTTATATGTATAACCCATGAACATGAACTAAAGGAGGGGAAAGTGGGTGGGAGGGTGTATGCAGGGCAGAGGGGAATAAAGGGGAGGATGGGACGACTGTAATAGCATAATCAATAAAATATATTAAAAAAAGAAAAAATAGTATTCAAGGGTAGCACTTTTAGAAAATTCTTTAGTTTAAGAACTATATACATTTTGCCTTGATTCCTTATTCTCTGGGGCTGAAGGGGGGACCCTGGATTTTCAGTGACATTGAAGTGAGATTAGCATCATGAAATGAAGAATAGAATAGTACAGAAAAATAGAAAGTATTTGTGAAACCAGTATCTGATAAAAGGCTAGTATCCAAGATATATAAAGAGTTCTTACAACTTAAGAAAGGCAACCCAACTTAAAAATTATGTAAAAAATTAAACTTGCATTCACCACATGACTCAGCAATTTTACTTGTAAACACTTACTTAAGAGAAATGAGGATGTATGTTCACACAGAGATTTGTATGTGAATGATCACAGCAGCATTATTTATCAAAGTCCCAAAGTGGAAGCAATTCAGATACTTATCAAAAGTAAAGGAGTCAACTGTATTTGAACAGTTTTTTTTAAAGTTTAGAAAAATAAAAAAAATAAAGACAGTGTCCAACTTTGCCAGAGGGGGAGTAAAAAATACTTACTTTTATTGAATGAAAGTATTTCTTCACCAGTTTGGCAAGGTGGCTCAGTTGGTTGCAGTGTCATCCCATGCACTGGAACTGCAGGTTGGAATTCTATAGGTCTGTGGTGGTGTCAGATTTTGCAGTTCAACAAACCCCCAAGTTGACTCCAGCGTTGCTGGTCTGAGGACCACGCTTTGTATGAAAGCCTTAGAACTTGTTTATAATCCAGGCTACATGTTAGAATCTCCTCCAGGGTGTTCTAAAACTGATGCAGACCTTCACCCAGAAGTTAAATCAGAAAGCTCTTCAGGTGATTCTGATGTGCAGCCAGGCTGAGAACCTTAACAAAATGGGATTCTCTTTTTCGTAATGGTGCAATAACTAGCTTCTGCCTATGTCTCCCTCAGTCAGATCTCACAGTTCAGCCTATAACCTAGCCCCCAAATTATGATCAGAATCTCTTGGAGTAGCTAAAAGATGAAATTAAGCATGCTTTAATTATACATTTTAATGATAACAAAATATAACATTTTGCATCTATTATTTACTTTCTACCTTGTGAGGTAGATACTTTTATTTCTTCCATATTATAGAACAAAGTACAGAGAAGTGCAAGGACTTGCTTAAAATCACACAGCCAATGGAAGTGGTGTACTGGGGATTTGAAAAGAGGCCATCAGATGCCAGGGTCCCAGAGAAGCTGACACTATCCAGCACCTGCCTCCTATGGTCTTTGTTTCTGTCAGACCTTCAGCCCCAAATTCCTAGCTGATCTGATATCTCTGGAAATGGAGCCAAACCCCACGCAAACTCCAGGCCCTTTTATTAGTCTCCAAAAAACACATACCCATACCTACTCTACCAGTGTTTCTGTACTCCCAAGACTTACTGTTGTCTTGTTTGGCTTATCAGACTGTTGATGCTGGAGACTCAGAGCTCTCTGATTGCTTCAGCTGAAAGAGAAAGAGCCACCAAGCCAATTTTTAATATCCTTTGTTTTCTCTCTTAAAGCTCTAATACCTTAAACCTGAGCTTTTTCTTGTGTCCTTAATCCTTAGCTGAGTTCCTTGAAGATAGATAAATGAAAGGCTTGATGTTAGAGTGAGATTGGACTAGGGCATTTAATCAACTATTTGTTATTGAAGTTCTGTTACTTCCCCCCACTCACTTTTTAAAATAGTGATTGGCTTTCATTGAAGCTTCAGGAAATTTTAGCCTTAACTATTCTTTGTTAACATAATATTTTTTAGAAAGCTGAGTGTCAGGAAGGCCCATTTTTAATTTATCAGTGGCACCGTTACTTTTAATATGCTAAAGCATACTTGACTTGTGAGGGCAGAATTAATCTTTTATCAGATGTACCATGGATGCTGTTGGTTTTATTATTTTAGGAAAATGCGCTTGTGTTGTTTTAGAATTAATGTTCCCTGCACACCTTTATTTTCCAATACCTGTTCAGAATGGATAAGGAGGAAACAAAGTAAGAGTCACCAATATCAAAGTTAGTGCAAAGGAGATGCAAGTTGCTGCTGTTCGAAAAACTAACAAAATTGTTCAACTGGATTTCATCTTGACTGAGGGAAGAGAAGATGAAAGTAAGCCTGTGATAGAGAATATTTGGACCTTCTTTTATAAGCCACATCTTTGGAGCAGTGAAGAAAATGTTGGCACAATTATAAGGAAATACTTTTGTACATGGGAATTGTTCAAAGTGGGGGGAAACAAAAAAGGAATTTCATCCTGCCCTTTGTTTAAATAAAGTGGGGCCAGGCACCTGTGCCAAAAGCTGTCAGTGTAACTTCATAGCACTGAGGCCTCAAGCTTTCACATGCCTCGGGGTCACTTGTGGGGTTGTTAAAAATACAGATCTTTGGACCTCACTCATTTTGGCTCTGAGTTTCTAATAAATTCTTCAGGGGATTCTAGTATGTATTGCATTAGTCAGGGTTCTCCAGAGAAACAGAATTAGTATAAAGTGTGTGCGTGCATGTGTGTGTGAGGAGGTTGTTGTAAGGGATTGATTCATGTAATTATGGAGGCTGAGAATACCTAAAATCTGCAGTCGGTTAATCTGGAGACATGAGAAGGCTGGTAGATAGTTCTAGTCTGAGTCCAAAGGCTTAAGAACCAGGAGAGCTGATGGTGTAAGTTCCAGTATGAGTTTGAGTCCAAAGGTAGGAGTTCAGTGTCCCAGCTCAAAGATAGTTCAGCAGAGAGAGAAAAGAAAGAGAGAGCAAATTCTTATTTAGCCTTTTTGTTTCATTCGAACATTCAGTGGGTTGGATAAGATCCCCACCCACATTGGAGAGGGCAGTCTGCTTTACCTTTTCAAGTGTTAATCTCATCCACAAATACCCTTACTGACACACCCAGAAAAATGTTTAACGAAATATATGGGCACTTCATGGCATAGTCAAGTTGATACACAAAATTAATATTATACCATTGAAATCTGAAGAATTTGAAGCACTAAGGGGCAAAACTAGATTTCTTGGAAGAAACGCTTGAAGGGAGAAACATAAGAAGAGATCATTGTTGCATTTTAGAAACCAATTGTATAATTTTAATTATAAAAAAATCTCTAAGGCCCTGGCTGGTGTAGCTTGGTGGATTGAGCACAGGCCTGCGAACCAGAGAATTGCAGTTTGATCCCCAGTCAGGGCACATGCCCGGGTGGTGGGCCAGGTCCCCAGTAGGGGACCCATAAGAGGCAACCATACATTGATATTCTCTCCCTCTCTCCTTCCCTTCCCCTCTAAAGATAAATAAATAAAATCTTAAAAAAAAAACCCCTCTAGATTAGGCAAATCCATAGAGACAAAGTTGCCAGAGGCAGGGGATGGAATAGGGAGGTGACTGCTAATGGGTATGGGATTTCTTTTCAAAGTGATGAATGTGTTCTGAAATTTTATATTGGTGATGTTTATACAACCTTGTGAATATACTAAAAACCACTGAACTGTACCCTTTGAAAAGGTGAATTTTATAGTATGTGAATTATATGTCAATAAAATATATTTACTGAGAGAGAGATGCAGCAGTGGACATCTTTGAGGCTTTTTCTATGTAGTGGAAAAAATGGAGTGATAGAAGGCATGTGGGTGAAGGGAGGATTTCAAAGACAACCCACAAGAGATAATGCAGCATGTCTGTAAACTGATTCACATGATCTAATGGGTAGGGAAATGCTATTAATGCAGGTTGGGCGGATTTGAGGAACCTAATCCTTAAATCCACTGGAATGCCACCTTGAGTAACTTTCTTCCTGCCTCTTCCCTAGGTGACAGATCAATCGGTGAAAGCGTTTGCTGAGCACTGTCCTGAACTTCGGTATGTGGGCTTCATGGGCTGTTCAGTTACTTCCAAAGGAGTCATTCACCTAACTAAGGTAGGACCATTGCTGTGTTTCCTCAGTGTTTCCAATTACCATTCATACCAATGCCCTAGCACTGTTAAATACGCTGGAATGAGAAATAATCAGACCATAATAGAAGTGCACTAGTGTTTGATTAAGTTAAAACAAGTTTAAGGCAACAATACCAAACCTATCCTTTATGAAGCCAGTCACTTATTTATTAGAAAAGCAGCTTAGCCCTGAATGGTGTATCTTAGTGGATGGAGTGTGGGCCTGCAAAGCAAAGGGCTGACGGTTTGATTCCCAGTCTGGGCGTGTGCCTGGGCTATCGGCCAGGTCCCCCCTGGGGTGGGGCATGTAAGAGGCAACCACACACTGATGTTTCTCTCCCTCTCTTTCTCTCTCCCTTAAACCTTCTTTCTAAAATTAAATAAGTAAATATTTTAAAAAGCAGCTTACATTTTTTGCTTTTGCATTGCTAATGACTGAAATTTATGCATCAAATAAGCGAATAACTGTGACAAGAATTGTTTAAATGTTAACTTAGTGCATTGCATTTAGAAAATATTTTGAAGTTTTAACTGCTCACATATCATTAGGTCAGCTTTTAAGAAGGCAATATGGTCAGTGCATATTTTTTAAGTAAATATGTAAGGTGAAAGAAAGGTGACTGTATATCTAAAATTAACCTTATAACTTTCCTATATACCAAATATATGAAATCTCATGTTTTAGTAGTGGTGAAAGTGCTAGTTCCTTTGTGATCTCTCCCTTACGTGCCATCTCTGCTGCTTTCCAGAGCTCTAAAATAATTAGGAGTTAATTCTTACATACATGTAATGAAAAAAAAAAAACCTGGCTCTAAAACTGACCTGTATAATACCTGAAATTTGTTACTGCATGGATTTTAACTGTGTCATATAGTGCTTAGGGGAATGAATGTGATTCTTGCCTTTTCCACTCAATAGCTGAGTAACCCATTTATTCAAACTTCCTTCAGTTCACTACTATTAGAAACCCACTGTGTTAGCAGCACAGTGCTGAAATAAAACAGGTGAGATCCCAGGTCTGCTTGGGCTTGGTCTCTTCGGGTCTCTTGAAGGTTACAAGTTCAGCGGGAAATAATGTTTTCTTTTTTTGCTCCCTAGGAAAAGAGCAAATGTTTACACGTTACCTTTGACTATAGCAATAAGGGACAATCAATGGGAGGCTGCACTCTGTTGTCAGCTTGGGTTTGAATCTTGGCTCTGCTGCTTACCAGCTAAGCAGGCGAATAATTTTCACGGTACTAATTGAAATAATGTGTGTAAGGTGCTTGCCTTAGCATTGAGCTTGCGTAAGTACTAAACTGAGTTAATGTTAGTTACCAATATTAACTTAGATGCTACAACATCTAAATTGCTGGAAAGTCAGAGTAAACTTTGAGAAAAAAACATCAAATTGCTCTTCTATTCTAGTATGTCTAAAACAAAGGCTGTGATTAAATGATTGTGTCTTAAATGACTGATCAACTTTAATTGTATTTTGAGGATCAGAACCTAAACCAGTGGAGAGTAAAGACACCTTGTTCTCAATTATCGCTCTATTAGAAAAGAACATCTTATATAAACATAGATAATGTAATTTTTTGTTCATTTCCTATAACCATGGCTTGAATAGCTTGGTAGATGAATGTTTGTTTAGTCACATCTAATGCTATTTATAGTGTAGAACAGGAATGTCTTTGGATGAACAGATTATGCACAAGCATTACAATGACCATATGTGGGATTTGTATGATCACTAGAAATTGTATTCATTAAAGACAAAACAAGACTTATTAGATCATTAAGTGCTTCACTGAGCATTTCAGATAGCCAAAAATTATGGTACACTGGTACTTAAAAATTCAGAATAATTCTCTGCGACAAAATAGTGGCTACAGCAAATGTCTACATTGGAAAATTCAATTTACTCAGAAGGTTCTTAGCATTGTAGGCCAGGATTGGTGGTTTGTCCTGTTGGTAGCTAATCTGCTGGATCCATATCAAAGCTAATCCACAGAGTTTTGAGGATCATACCTGTTGGAAGTCTGGTTTGTGGTATAATACTGCTTAGGTTCCTGGATTCAAGTAAAGGCAAGATAGCTTTTTATTATTGTTTAAAATGTATTTCATGGATTATGCTATTACAGTTGTCCTAATTGTTTCTCCTTTACCTCTCTACCCAGTATCCCCCATTTCCTTGTGCAGTTCCCCCCTTGGTTCATGTCTATGGGTCATGCATATGAGTTTTTTGGCTACTACAATTCCTGTAGTGTTCTTAATATCTCCCTGTCTATTTTGGGAGATTTGTACTTCTTAATTCCTGTACCTTTTCCACCATTCTCCCTCTTCCCCCTCCCAACTGATAACTCTTCAAATGATCTCCATATCTATGATTCTGTTTCTGTTCTGCTTGCTTGCTTAGTTTATTTCTTAGATTCAGTTGTTGATAGTTGTGAACTTATTGCCATTTTGATGTTTGTAGTTTTGATTTTATTCTTTTCCTTAAATAAGTTTCTTTAACATTTCATATAATAAGGGCTTGGTAATGAACTCCTTTAGCTTTACCTTTTCTGGGAAGCACTTGTTCTGCCCTTCCATTCTAAATGGTAACTTTGCTGGAGAGAGTAATCTAGGTGGTAGGTCCTTGCTTTTTCATCACTTTGAATACTTCTTGCCAGTTCCTTCTAGCCTGAAAAGTTTCTTTTGAGAAATCATAGTGTTATGGAAATTCCTTTGTAGGTAACTCTCTGCTTTCCTCTTGCTGCTTTTAAGATTCTCTCTTTATCTTTAACTTTTGGCATTTTAATTGTGTTGTGTCATGGCATGGTTCTCTTTTCATTCATCTTATTTGGGACTCTGTGCTTCCTGGACTTGCATGTTTATTTCCTTCACCACATTAGGAAAGTTTTCTTTCATTATTTTTTAAAATAAGTTTTCAATATCTAGCTCTTCCTCTGCTCTTTCTGGCATCCCTATGATTTGTATGTTGGTGCATTCGAAGATGTTCCAGAGGTTCCTTAGCCTATCCTTGGGGTTTTTTTTTCTTGCTGTTCTGATTGAATATCTTTTTCTTCTTTATGTTCCAAATCATTGATTTGATTCTTGGCTTCATCCCCTCAACTGTTGGTTCTCTCTAAATTTTTCTTTGTTTCACTTAGTGTAACTTACATTTCTACTTGGGTCTTTTTTACGCTGCTGAAGTAACCAGTGAGTTCTCTGAGCATCTTAATAACCAATGTTTTGAACTCTGCATCTGATAGATTGGTTATCTCCATTTTGCTTAATTCTTTTTCTAGAGTTTTGTTCTGTTCTTTCATTTGGACCATATTTCTTTGTCTCCACATTTTGGCAGCCTCCCTGTGTTTGTTTTTGTATATTAGATGGAGCTGCTTTGACTCTCTGTCTTATCAGTGTCACCTATTGTAGAAAAAGCACCTGTAAATTGTGTGGAGCAAAGCCTTAGGTAATAGCCAGGGTGGGGCAAACCATGTCATCACTCTGTGGTTCTGTGGGGAGGGCTCAGAAAAGGGACAATGGCTGCTTCTTGGCCTCTGGAGTTTTGTCTGGGAGGAAACTGTTTCCTGGCACTCACCTTGATGCCAGTCACTTCATGTTCTCCCCATGTGCCACTCATGCCCTTCCAGTTGTTTCCTGGTGTGGAAGCCCAGAGGAAGTGAATCTGTATAAGTCCTAAGTCTGTTGTAGGCCATTTAAGAGGAGACTCCTAAGAGTCCTACAGTTTCTTCCTCTGCTCCAATCCACATTAGTTTTTGCAACCAGAAGTTATAAGGACTTATCTTCCTGGCACTGGAACCCTGGGCTGGGTTGTCTGGGGTTGGGTTGGGATCCATCACTCTTGAGGTATCCCTCCTGATTTTTTCCATCACATATGGTTGTGGGACTGCCTGTTCCATGTCTCTGTGTATTTATGCACCTCTCTGTGTCTGGGTGAATGTGGTTTCTTTAATTTCTTGTCAGACTTCCACACAGCTCAATTTTCTGATGATTCCGGGTGATATTTGTGTTGTAATCTTCATGTAATTTTTGCTCTGGTTGTGTGAGGAGACAAGCCCTGTATACCTCTGCCTCCATCTTTACTGGAAGTCCAATAGCATTTTAAATATGCATAACTTTTGAAAAGCCACTTAGTTGTTTTACCTATTGAAAACCAGGGGAGAAATCAGGTTTAAATAAAATAAAAACTTTTTTGTTAAAATATTTGCATTCTGACAAAGTGTTTATATACTAAGACATTAAAATATAATTTACATTCACAAAATTTTGTAAATATATGAATATTCCTAGAAAGTTGTGTTAGTATTATTACCATCATGGTTTATAGTTTCTAAATAATTTATCATCATCATAGTATATAATTTTCACATAAATAATTAGGGAGATGTCAGACACATAGAATGAAAGCTCTCAATCTATGTATGTGTACTCTCAATTTACATGCATGATTTAGAAAATCTCACCAACTAATTACTTTACTGAGTCTCTGGCACTCAGTTTGCTGATAGAGGCAAGTGCCATCAAATCTTTGTTTACTATGAAGAGAAGTGCCTGGATTAGGTGATTTATCCCTAGATCTAGAGTTTTTTACACACAGAAAAATCTATGAATTTAAGAATCATTGACCTGGAAAGGATTCTGTGGGGTTTTCACTGGAACTAAGAAATGTGAAATCTTTAGTAAGTTAGAAAGGAATTTGGGGATTTGTGACATCTTTGATTCTTAAACCAAGGGCAAGAACACAGAAGATTGGGAATAGATGGAAAAAAATATTTTTTTAATTTAGATTTTATTTATTTATATTTAGAGAGAGGGGAAGGGAGGGAGAGAGAGAGGGAGAGAAACATCATTGTGTGGTTGCCTCTCACATGCCCCCTACTGGGGACCTGGCCTACAACCCAGGCATGTTCCCTGACTGGGAATCAAACTGGCGACCCTCTGGTTCACAGGCCAGCACTCAATCCACTGAGCCACACCAGCCAGGGAAATATA